CAAATCCACCCTGGGCAGTAAAGTCCATTAGATTCTTATCTTTGCACCATTTCTTTGCCTCTGGTGTATTTACTTTGATACCCTTCTCTTTAACTATCACTATCATAGTATTCATAATCTTTTTTAAAAGGATAAAAGGGGACCAAAAGCTTATTAAAGGGGAGGGACTGTCATTTCACTGTGTCCCAGCCCCCAGATAATATACAGATGAAGTCTATAATACTAACTTTTCTTATTAGTGTGAAAGACAGGCTCAGAGGATGTTCCAAAGTCATTCATGGAACGTGAGGCAAAACTCGAGTCTCAAATCTCTTGCCCTCTATCCATTAAATCCCTATAACTGCAAGCACCTGCAAAACAAACTTTTCATCTCTTCAACTACCTCGAGTATGTGAGACCACACACACAGAGAGTAATGAATGGCTAGGGAACTTACTGGACTCCTCTTTTGTCAGGGTATCGTTACCACTTGATCTTGACAGTCTTCTTTTGAAAACCATTTTGAGTTAAATTATTTCCTAAAGTAAAATCAGACAACAAAAGTTATTCTCTAGACGGGCGCCGGTGGCTCACACTTGTCATCCTAGCTACTCAGGAGGCTGAGGTCTGAGGATCGCGGTTCAAAGCCAGCCCGGGCAGGAGTCTGTGAGACTCTTATCTCCAATGAACCACCAGAAAACCGGCAGTGGCGCTGCGGCTCCGGCGGTAGGGCGCTGGCCTGGAGCCGAAGCGCGCGGGACGGCGCCCACGCCACACGCACGGCACCACGTCCTCCGGAGACAGCTGGCGGGCGGGGCGGACGCCGTCCTGAGGCCGTCCTGAGGGCAGGGTCCTCCAGCAGAGTTAGGAGATAAAAGCCCTTCTCATTTCACCTCGTCATTCAGTGACGCCGGGCGGTACCTGTGGGGATTATCCCGACAGGAGACGGATGAGCAAACCGAGGTTCGAGGCGCGAGGCCCCAGGAGACAAGGCTGGGGCCGGCCCGGCGACTCGAAAGTTCGAGAGATAGACAGCGACCGCACTCAACTGCCGCGACGCCGACTCAGCCCCGCGCTTTCGATTTTCCCGCGCTGACTCAACGTGACGTCGTTGAACGCGCTCCGACGTGACGTCAAGACTCAGCGACGGAAGTCGGCGGCCCGGCGGCCCAGCTGGAAGCAGTGCGCCGCGGGTCGTGACTGCCGTCGAGTCCCGGGCCCACCCAGCATTGGGGCGAGAGAAGGCCCGGAAGCGGAATCTTAGAGGAACGGGACTTACCCCGGTTTGGCAGCCGGCTTTCAGTGAAGATGGCGGGGCCAGAACTGTTGCTCGACTCCAACATCCGCCTCTGGGTGGTCCTCCCCATCGTTATCATCACGTTCTTCGTGGGCATGATCCGCCACTACGTGTCCATCCTGCTGCAGAGCGACAAGAAGCTCACCCAGGAACAGGTGTCCGACAGGTGAGTCCCGTCCCCGGCCTGCCGACCTCGCTCCCCCTGTGACCTTGGGCAGCAAAGTGCCGGTTTGCCGGAGTTCGCGTCGCGCCCCTACTGGTAGTTTGGCCTCGGTCCTCGCAGTGTATTTCACGTCCGTCGTCGGTAAAATGAGGATGACGGCAGTACCTGCCTTGGAGAACAGGCTTTGGGGATCAATTAGATGATGTCTTTAAATCTCTCAGTACGGGGCTAATAATAATCGTGAATATTGGTAGTCAACTCGCTAACCTTCCGTACGATTATCTACAGTCTGTCCTATTCCTGCCCTTCGTTAGGAAGAGTTTCTACCGAGTTCTAGGTGCGTTACTGCCTTTAGTCGTGGTGACACCGGTCAAGTGGATGTGATCGTCTGCGTTCTGTGAAACAAAATTCTGTAATGGTCAGCTGGGACGCTAGGAAACAAAGCACCACTTTGCAAACTGTAAAACTGCCGTTAGAGAAATGTGATGGGTTCGCACGATCATTTCCCCTCCTAAAGTCGAGGCAACTTCTTCCTCACATGCTTCCTGTGGAAGTTATTTACAGAGACAGATTTTGAGATCACTTTCGGTTGTACATAAACATATATCCTGTTTAACTAACATTAACTAACAACTTTTAATCAGTTCTAATTATTTTCATGCAATCTCAAGAAATACTATATTGTTAACACCTCTTAGTCGCTATCAGTCTCTTTCTCCCCCCTCCCACTTGCTCTCTCTCCCTCCCTCTGTGTGAGTGTGTGTGTGTGTGTGTGTGTGTGTGTGTGTATGACAAAGTCTCTATAGGCAGCCCATGCTGTCCTCAAACTCACAATCCTACTCCCCCCCCCCAGGCTCTTACTTTAATAAAGAGAGTAAGCCCCAGGTTCAGAAGTTAACACATGTAATCATGTCTAGTAAAAATTTATTGCTTAATTTTATTGTACTTATTAGAAAGAATTTCTTTCACTGATGGCTGGTGGCTCTTGCCCATAATCCTAGCTACTGAGGAAACTGGGATCTGAGGATCACAGTTCAAAGCCAGTCCAGCCATTAAAGTCCATAAGACTTGTTTTGTTTTGTTTTGTTTTGCCAATGCTGGGGCTTGAACTCAGGGCCTGGGCACTGTCCCTGAGCTTCTTTTGCTCAAGGCTAGCAATCTGCCACTTGACCCACAGCACCACTTCTGGTGTCTTCTGTTTATAGTACTGAGGAATTGAACCCAGGGCTTCATGCACTCTATTACTAAGCCACATTCCCACCCCATTAGACTCTTATCTCCAAATAACTGCCCCAAAAAATTCAGAAGTAGGGGCTGGGAAGGTGGCTCAGTGGTAGAGTGCTTGCTTTGCATGCATGAGGCCCTGGGTTCAATTCTTCAGCACCATATAAGCAGAAAAAGCCGGAAGTGGGGCTGAGGCTCAAGTGGTAGAGCGCTAATAATCTACAGCTGAAGAGCTGGGGGACAGAGCCCAGGCCCAGAGTTCAGGCCCCACAACCGACAAAAAAAAAAAAAAATCAGAAGTAGAGCTGCGACTTAAGTGGGACAGGACCCAGGTCCTGAGGACCAATACCAAAATAATAATAATTTCTCTCATTTTGTGGAATATAATACTGGATTTCCATTTGCTGGAAATGTAAAGATTCTTTTAAATTAAAAACACATGGGAGCCGGGTGCTGGTGGCTCACACCTGTAATCCTAGCTACTCAGGAGGCTGAGATCTGAGGATCTCAGTTCAAAGCCAGCCCGGGCAGGAGAGACCATGAGACTCCTATCTCCAATAAACCACTAGAAAACCGGAAGTGGCGCTGTGGCTCAAGTGGTAGAGCGCTCGCCTTGAGCTGAAGAGCTGAGGGACAGCGCCCAGGCCCAGAGTTCAAGCCCTACGACCGACAAAAAAAAAAAAAACACATGGGGGGGGCACGCTGGAAAGGTGGCTCAGTTTAGACCCTTGCATGCATAAGGCCCTGGGTTCAATTCCTCAGCACCACATAAGCAGAAAAAGCCAGAAGAGGTGCTGTGGCTCAAGTGGTAAAGTGCTAGCCTTGAACTGAAGAGCTGAGGGACAATGCCCAGGCCCAAAGTTCAGGCCCCAAGACCTACACACACACACACAAAAAAGAAGAAGTTCCATGGTGACATTTAAGACTTTAAGCCAAGTCTCTGGTTCCTAAACCGGACACCATCTTAGTTGCAAGTTTATTTTTTCTGTAGCATGTTTCAGCCCTGACCATACTTACTTACTTTAACAAGTAACTTTACTACTAAAGGAATTTATAGAAAGATGCAAATTGAAGAGAGCATAGGTATTCAGCATTTCTTGGTACCTTCAAGTTAATTTTCGTTTGATCCTTACAGTAGCACTGAGATAGGTCATAGTAGACTTATTCCAATGGTTATAGAAAGAAAAGCCTGCAGAAGCAGCCTTTCCAGTGTAACCACAGTTCTAATTGTGCTTGAACATGTACTTGAACCCAGATTGGTCTCTGATCTGCTATCATTGTTCCTAACTGCCATTTCTGTACAATAGATGATATCCTGCACTATGTGAATTCTGATACTCGGACCCACTGCTGCCGTTCCTTTCTCCAAAATGACATTCATAGTTGATGCAATCTTTGTGTGGAACTGTTTTCAAAAAAAATAATAAAATAAGGCCGGGAGCCAGTGACTCATGCCTATAATCCTAGTTACTTAGGCTGATATCTGAGGCTCATGATTCAAAGCTACCCCCAGCAGGAATGTCCATGAGACTCTTTTCTCCAGTTAGCCACCAGAGCACTAGCTTTGAGCTGAAGAGCTCAGCAACAACACCCAGTCCCAGAGTTCAAGACCGAAGACTGACCAAGAAAAAAAAAAGTAAACTGTAGTTGTAATAATCAGAAAAAATAAAAGGAAAATGACTTTTAATAAAAATCATGTATATATATATTATATATATATGTTATATATATATATATTATAAGGTGGAATGCAGATGGATGCATGCATCTAGCTATAAAATCACCAGAAGGGATGGGTCAATTGAAGCCTGAAGTCTTCTTTTTTGAGACGGGGTCTCACTAAGTAGCCTAGGCTGAACTCATGATCCTTCTGCCTCTGCTCCTTAAGTGTTGGGATTATATTTGGAGAAAGGACATATATAAAACATGTTTTCCAACTTACAGAATGTAATAGTGCATTGGAAAAGAAGAAAAGAGTCACAGATTGTTAAGAATAGGGAATTCTAGGGCTGGGAAGGTGGCTCAGTGGTAGAGCGCTTGCCTTGCATGCATGAGGCCCTGGGTTCGATTCCTCAGCGCCACATAAGCAAAAAGAAAAAAAGCCGGAAGTGGCGCTGTGGCTCAAGTGGTAGAGCGCTAGCCTTGAGCTAAAGAGCTGAGGGACAGCGCCCAAGCCCAGAGTTCAGGCCCCACGACCGGACCCCAAAAAAAAAAAGAATAGGGAATTCCATGCCAGACACTGGTAGCTCATGCCTATAATCCCACCTACTTAGAGGGCTGAGATCTGAAGAATCATGATTCAAAGGCCATGCAGAAAAGTCCGTTAGACTCCATCTCCAAAGTAACCACTCTAGCAGGACTGGAGGAATGACTCAAGTAGAAGTGGTAGAACACCAGCTTGGCAAATGAGAGGTCCCCTAAACCCCAGTGCTGTCAAAAATAAAAAATAGAGCCTCAGGAGATAGAAATCTGAGGATTGGGATGTGAAGCCAACCCAGGCAGGAAAGTCCTGGAGACAAAGTCCTGGAGACCTATCTCCAATTAACTACCAAAAAAGCCAGAAGTAGGGGCTGGGAAGGTGGCTCAGTGGTAGAGCGCTTGCCTTGCATGCATGAGGCCCTGGGTTCAATTCCTCAGCACCACATAAGCAAAAAGAAAAAAAGCCGGAAGTGGCGCTGTGGCTCAAGTGGTAGAGTGCTAGCCTTGAGCTGAAGAGCTAAGGGACAGTGCCCAGGCCCAGAGTTCAGGCCCCACGACCGACAAAAAAACAAGCCAGAAGTGGAGCTGTAATTCAAATAGTAGAGCACTAGCCTTGAGCAAAAGAAGCTAAGGACAGTGCCCAGGTCCTGAGTTCAAGCCGCCCCAGAGAGAAAGAGAGAGAACTTCAGTTTGAGAAATACTGACTTTAAAAATTGAAGTTTTCCAGGTGCTAGTGGCTGTAATCCTAGCTACTCAGGAGGCTGACATCTCAGGATTGCAGTTTAAAGCCAACCTGGACAGGAAAGGCAGTATGAGACTTATCTCTAATTTAGCCACTAAAAAGCTGGAAGTGGAGGTGTGGCTCAAGTGATAGAGCTCTAGCCTTGAGCAAAAAAACTTTTAAGAGACAGTGCCCAAGCCCTGAGTCCCACCCCCAGCACACAGATACACAAAGAAAACAAAATCCCTAAAGTTTGGCAAGCTGGGGTGCTGCATGCCTGTAATTCTATCTCTTGGGAGGCTGAGGCAGGAAGTGCTTGGCTGTCATAGACCAGCACTGGTACACAGGCCACACACTGACTAGCATTAGTCTAGCTTCCTGGAATAGAGCAGATATAGTAAGGTCCCCTCTGTAGGCCTGTGGGTAAAGAAGTCAGGTTTTAGTCCTGAGACAGAACTCCAGGAGGACATTGGGCCTTGGAGAATTTTGTGCAGAAGGTGTTAATGGCATGAGGGCCAGTACATGCTCACCATCAGGACAACTGGCATACATGCAGGCTGGTGGGCAGACACAGAGGATGCTAACACAGTTATATTCTTTTTTCCCCCCACTTTTCAAAGATTCCATTAGTTTCAGGGATTTTTGCTCCCTTTCAACAGCTTTAGAAAACTTTTAAGTATTTTGATCTCTATTGTTTGGTATTTGTATCTTAGCAACCCTAGTCCCCGTATAGCTCCATATTATCTGTAAGGATCCACTGTGCTCTGGTATCACTACGTGATTCATTTATTCAGTCAGTGTTTACTGAGAACTTAGTCTGAATCCTGGGTGGAGTGGCTGATTGTTCTTCCTCAGATAACAGCTAGGCCTGTCCTCATTTCCACGTGTGCCTGAAGAAGTTCCTTCTTTATCCTCATCCTTCCCCTCCCTGCCCCCAGACCTGTCGAGCAGTGTCAGCTGCTCCCCTTTCCACACTCAGAAAGTTCTTTCTTGTCAAGCCAGAATGAAAAATGCCAACTATGCCTACCTCAGAAATCTTTCTTTGTTCAGATCCACAGTCTCTTCTGAGGACTACTCTTTTGAAAATCTGAGTGTGAGGCTCAGGGTATTACATTGGTTTTTAGGATATCTGAATTTAGGGCGAATTTCCACACATAGCTGTTACCAAATAGGCCCTTTCTTGTGTTCAAATAGGTCTCCACTTTATTCTCTCCTTTTCTTCTACTGTTTCACTTTAAAAAAAAAAATCTCATTGTCTGTCTTGGTTGTATTTTTCAGTCAAGTCCTAATTCGAAGCAGAGTCCTCAGGGAAAATGGAAAGTACATTCCCAAACAGGTACTCATTACTGCTTTATTAAAAGTTCTGTCATTCACAGCTGAATGTTTTATAAGAGAATTCTTTGGAAATTAGCAATTTAGTGCTAAAGCCATGGCCTGGTGGCGTTTGCTCTCACTGTGACCTTACCCTTCTTAGGAAATTGTTTTTAAATGTGACTCAGCTTAAGTGTCAGGTCGGCTGCCAAGGTGGCTGGCAGTGCTGACAGTAATAGTGTCTCCCAAGGCCTCTCAGCAGACCTCTGGGGACTAGTTGACAATTTGCAGTGTCACAGTTCTTCACACTTAAAACCCTTTCTTTCGTTTTCTAGTCTTTCTTGACACGAAAGTATTACTTCAACAACCCAGAGGATGGATTTTTCAAAAAAACTAAAAGAAAGGTTGTACCACCTTCTCCTATGACTGGTAAGGCCGCCTCCCTTCTCTCGCTGTTACAAAAGATTGTTTAAATGTTAAATTGTAGGAGATGGAAGGGACCAGAGAAGTCCTCTCACGTGGAAAGCCATAGATTGCTAGAATCTGGGCACACTGAGTGTAGGTGGATTTGAGAAGGCTGCGGAGCTTTCCAGCATCTCCCACCATGCCTGCGCCTCTGCTGGCAGATGGCTGTCCTGCTGCTGCCTGAGCCAGGAGGAGCTCCGAGTTTGGGCCGTCTGAAAGTATTCACTGCAGCCACAAATTGGAATACGCCTAGACATTGAAAATCCTAAGGGATAGTTACTATACCAGCGTGCAAATAACAGTCACAAAATTACTTTCATTCATTTTATTCTTTTGTTGTTGTTGTTAATCATGGGGCTTGAACTCAGGGCCTGGGTGCTGTCCCTGAGCTCTTCTGCTCAAGGCTAGTGCTCTACCACTTAAGCCACAGCACCACTTCCTATTTTATTCTTTTGTCGGGCTGGGGAATCAAGCTAGGACCTTATGTACACAAGGCAAGCTCTCTTACCACTGCGGTTAACAACTATAGCCCTCACAATTTTTTTTTTGGGGGGGTCCGGTCGTGAGGCCTGAACTCTGGGCCTGGGCGCTGTCCCTCAGCTCTTCAGCTCAAGGCTAGCTCTCTACCACTTGAGCCACGGCACCACTTCTGGCTTTTTTCTTTTTGTTTATGTGGTGCTGAGGAATCGAACCCCGGGCCTCAGGCATGCAAGGCAAGTGCTCTACCACTGAGCCACCTTTCCAGCCCCACAAAATTATTTTTTAAAGGTTAAGAAACAACATACTCAGTATGGAGCCCCTTTATATTTGCATCACTTTCATTAGAGGTGAAAGCATGTGCCATAGACAGCTGAACATGTTCGGAGAGGCCTAAAAGAGCCTCTCCAGCATCAAATTTTGTCATTTGAACTCTGAGTTTCATCTACATTATAAGAATTTCCACAACATGGGCGTGGTCAGCAGAGGAAACCCAAGTGCCTTGTGCTTCTGTCCTAGATCCCACCATGCTCACAGACATGATGAAGGGGAACGTGACAAATGTCCTTCCCATGATTCTCATCGGAGGTTGGATCAACATGACTTTCTCTGGCTTTGTTACAAGTAAGTTCCAGCTCTAGCGCACCTCACGTTTACTTTGGCTGCACTCCCTTCCCAGGTCCCCAGCCAGAGAAATCCCCAGCTGCTGACACCCGTAATGTTCTGGGTCTTAGGCTTTCTTGTGGAAACTGCTAATATTGCTTGAATAAAAGCATTTAATAGACTACAGTTTTGCACCACCTTTTCCAAATTGATCCTAAGTTCCTGGGCTGGATGCCCTTTTCCCAATGAAGACTCAAAAGAGGGACTTGCTAGTTTGCCTCTGTGACGAGGTGTATTCTAGGGAAGGGAGTTTGAACTCCTTCTGACTTCCTTTGCCAGGTGTGATGGGCAGTTTTCAACCTGTTTTGCTTGTAAATTGATTTGATTTTCATTAATCTGGCTTCCTAGATCTGTAGTGACTTCGACTTGTACAAACTCCACTTAGGGCTTAGTGGATCAGTGCAATTATTTTTTTCCAAATTTTAGGTCACAGCTCAGTTTGAGTGCCTGCTCAGCAGTCTAGAAGTTGGTATTATTCAAGGAAACTGGAGCAGAGCCACACTCTGACTGTTTTTTCCTTCAGGAACTGCCATGGATTTCCTGGTGGAAATCATTTTCCAACAGCCAGATGGCACAGAGTCCCCACCTCCTCAGGAGAGTGCTTTCACACTTCAGCCCTCTAAAAATAACACAGCTGCGTGCTGAGAACGTTTCTCTCCTCTCTGCAGCCAAGGTCCCATTTCCACTGACCCTCCGTTTTAAGCCTATGCTACAGCAAGGGATTGAACTGCTCACCTTAGACGCGTCCTGGTAAGAACTTGCTTATCTAATAAAAATATAAGCCAAAACCTAAACATCAAAGCTCCCAGTTTGACTTTCTACCTGGAATAGGTGTTTTAAAGGTTGTCTTTGGTTTGGTTTGTTGTTAATAGTTGAAATCCACTCAGAACGCCCTGCTGGGTTTTGGTCTTTGCGTGGGTCTTGAGTGAGGAGAGGATATGCTGGGTTTTTTTCCCTGGGGTGTAAGTGAAGGTGCTGGCTTAAAAAAAAAAAATGAGGGGCTGGGAAGGTGGCTCAGTGGTAGAGCGCTTGCCTTGCATGCCTGAGGCCCTGGGTTCGATTCCTCAGCACCACATAAGCAAAAAAAAAAAAAAAAATGACCTTACCACACAATCCTTTGTATTTCAGGTTTGTTTCATTATTTTATTCTGTATTTTCTTTTGGCTTAGTTGTGTGAGGTGAGTTTGTTTTCAAGTGTTAGGAATGGAGCTCAGGGCCTTGCCCATTCTAGGCAAGTACTCTACCATTGATCTATAACTCCAAACTTTGGTCTTGTGAGACCAAGTCTTGCTATGTAACCCAGGAAGACCTCAAACTCTTGGTCCCTCGGACTAGTGCTGGGATTACAGGTGTAATCCCTGGCTAGGGGAAACCTTTTTATCAATATCATGGAGCTTATGGGAATGTGTGTGTCAGCCATCTTTCTGTTACTGTAACAAGTACCTGAGACAACCAGTTTGTGAGGAAAGGTTTGTTGCAGCTCACTTTTAGAGTTCTCGTTCATTCCATGACCAACAGGCCCCACGGGTTTGGCCTGTGGCAGCGGATCTTGGCAGCAGCGTGGTTCTAGCCCAGTAGTCAGAACACAAGAGGGAGAGGGGAAGAGTCCAATCTGCCACCTTGGGGGCAGGGGACAGACAGACCTAAAATAAAGGAGGCCTCAAGAGATGAAGTTCAGAACCCAAAGGCTTTCCCAACAGCTGCTGTCCTCAGCTACTGCAAGCACTTCCTGAAAACCTCCTCCTTCCCTTTTCTGCTGAGTGAAACACACAAGCATGCTTCCTCTAGGGAACCCGATTCTAGACAGGGACCTCTTAACAGAGAAGTTCCTTCTCTTCCTCCCTCCCTCCCTCCCTCCCTCCCTCCCTCCTTCCCTTCCTTCCTTCCTTTGCCCAAGCTCAGGACCTAGGTGCTGTCCCCGAGCTTTATTTTTTGTTTATTTCACTCAAGGTTAACACTCTACCACTTCTAGCTTTTTTGGTAGTTTATTGGAGATAAACTCCAATAGAGTCTCCAGTAGAGTCTCACAGACTTCCTACCAAGGCAGGTTTCAAACCATGATCCTCAAATCTCAGCTTCCTATTATAAGCGTGAGCGAGACCCTGACACCTGGCAAGAAATATCAGTCAGCATTCTGTGTCTCTATTTGGGTTGTGAATTGGCTGCATCAGCCCTAACCCAGGCAGCAGAAGGGTGCTGTGCATTGATTTCTGAAGTAACCACCTGTACTTTCCTTTGGCTTTGTAGGGTGAGTTCTGCATCCTGGTACTTCCTCAATGTGTTTGGGCTCCGGAGCATTTATTCTCTGATTCTGGGCCAAGATAATGGTAAGAAACAGTAGGCCTGATCACAAATACTTGCTTAGAGGAATCATCCATATTAGAGCACAAAAACCCTGCAGTTAGTTAGCTATTGGTTATCACAGAAGAACATTGCTTCATTCTTCAAGTTCCTCAGTTGTTCTGGAAACCTGAAAAATTCCCAGGCTCCCACCGAAGCCCTGGGTTGCACGTTGAGACCTTCACAGCCACCCTCGCAGGGCTGACAGAGCACACGAGGTAGATACACAGAGCACCTCGTGAGGGTCCTAGCGTACGGTATTACTCAGTAACTGGCAGCCCCTGCGTGGAGGGTAAAATAAAGTTGCAAGCTTCTGTTAGTTGTCTTTCTGCAGCGGTCAGCCCTGTTTTTCAGGGGAGGTACAGTGGCTTTCCCATAATCGCAGTTCATGGGTGCTAGCCAGTCAGGGGTCCCATCCTGAGAAACACCATCAAGCTGGCAGTGCCGAGCACTGCTTGGGATTCACTCAGCCTGTCTCCATGCAGCCGCTGACCAGTCACGAATGATGCAGGAGCAGATGACGGGAGCAGCCATGGCCATGCCCGCAGACACCAACAAGGCGTTCAAGGTATGCGCCCCGCGCTGCCAGCAGCAGGTGGCGTTGCCGGGCCCTCAGAAAGACACTGGTCCTCTCTTTCCTCAGTTTCCCTAGCTGTGGCTCCTCACCTATCATAGACAAACACACTGAGGAAAACTCCCAAAGTAAACAGTCACGGCTTCAACCTGCGCAGTGTTGCAGCCACCGTCCCCCATCCGGGCACTCAGTCACCACTCCATCCTGTGTGGCCCATGGCAGCTGAGAGATGCCAGGTTCATGCAACTTTTCTTATAGTCTTTCCTATACTTACTCTGTTTCATTATTGTTGTTTAGTTTCTAACCCCGACTTACAAGGTAAACTTCATGTTAGGGATGTAGCGGAATAGCTGCGTAGGGCATGGCACCCCTTTGCAGATTCAAGTCCACACATAGTCTTGGAATGTCCTCCCTGAGGACAAAGTAAAACGCTAAGCTGGACCAATGCATTCTCAAGCCATGTGCAATGTTGGTATAGCTGTAGACACCTGTAGTCCCAGCCTCTTGGGAGGCTAAAGGAGGATCCTGTTAGTGTAGGAATTTGAGACCAGGCTCAGCCTCCTAGTGAGACCCTGTGTCACACAGAAAGCTCTGTGCTGAGCGCTAGTGTTTGAGCATAAAATATTTAAATTCAGCAAAAATAGAGCATGTGTATCTCTTGTTCTTCAGACAGGCGTGTCTATTAAGTTAATTAGAGATTCTTGTCACTTATACTGGTTTCCAAATACCCAAATTTAATCCACCATGGAAGTGAGGCTATAAAACAGCACAGTTGAAAAGGAAGGCGTGACACTGTCCAAAAAGAAATGTACTCTTACCTGACTTACATAACTAACCCCTCTGTACAACACCTTCTTCATCATCATCATCATCAAAGTAAAAAAACAACCTAGTCAAAGGCAGCCCATTAAACATTTGGGACATTTCAGCCTTTTTGGGACCCAGCAGATATGAGATGTAAATGGAATGTGTGCAATGGAGTATTATTCAACTATAAAAAGGGATGGGGGGGATATGGGAAGGGATAGGAAAGGAAAACAAAGGAGGAGTTAACAATGCTTGATTAGAAATGTACTCATTATCTTGCCCATGTAATTGTAACTCCTCTGTATGGTATTTTCACAATAAAAATAAAAAGGGATGAAGACTGGGTGCTGGTGGCTCACACGTAGCTACTCAGGCGGCTGAGATCTGAGGATTGAAGTTCAAAGCTAGCCCAGGCAGAAAAATCCGTAAGACTTACCTCCAATAAACCACTGAAGTACAGAAAGTACAACTGTGGCTCAAATGGTAGGGCACTAGCCATGAGCACAGAAGCTCAGCGATAATGCACAGGCCCTAAGTTCAAGCCTCAACACAGGTAACAAACACACAAAAAAGGAATGAAGTACTGAGTCATCCTGAACAGTGATCAGCCTTGAAAGCATGTTAAGTGAGAGGGAAACAACAAAGCCACACCCATCATAGACTATCAGCCCCTTCCCAGAATGTTCGGGAGCGGGTACTGGGCAGAGGGCCTGTGTGGTGGGCAACTCCATAGCCTATTCAAGTCTCAGTACTGGAGCCAGAGAGCAATAAATAAGTAATATTTTTAATAACTCAGGTAAAAGTAGACTAATAATAGAATATGAAGAAAATTTTCAGAAAATTATGAAAATTGGTTCAGCATATTAATTACATCAGAATCTAACAACCCCAAGTTACCAGCATAAGGAAATTGTGTGTGTTTGTGTGTGTGTGTGTGTGTGTTCACTGTGCATCTTCACAGTGACACAGAGACATGGTGCTCAGTGAGCAAGAGGTTCAGCAGCTCTCAGCCCAGTCTCCTTCTAGCTCCTGGCTGGGCAGGCAGAGACCACAGGTCACTCTGGTCCAGTCACGAGCCCCTTCCTCCCCACCCTCTCGTCTTCTCTGCAGACAGAGTGGGAGGCTTTGGAGCTGACAGACCACCAGTGGGCACTGGATGATGTGGAGGAGGAGCTCATGGCCAAGGACTTACACTTCGAAGGCATGTTCAAGAAGGAATTACAGACGTCCATCTTCTGAGGACCAAGCAGGGATTGGCTGTGCCAGGAACTTGGAATAGCGCTTAACCTTGTAACTTTCGTTGGAGCTTCGGAGCCTCTGAAAATAAAAGGGGTGCCAGGGCTGGCGGGTGTGCTGCAAGGCTCGTTCTTGTCTGAGCTGGGTCCCCCTGTATTGGAAACTAGAGGAAAGAGGAGTATTGCGGGGTGACATGCTAGTTAAAAGTGGCATACATTTTCCTGATAGAGACTAGTGATGAAGTCAGAGAAAGGGGAATCCTCATAGAGCTACTAAATCTACACCCAAAGGTAGCCCAAACCACCCAGTCTCTGGAAGAAACATCGTCAGTTATAACTAGTTCTTATGTTCAGTCAGCCTGACTTCTAACCACTGTAAACTCCTGTTTTCTTGGAATCCAAACACCCTGCATTCTACCTTTAATTTCTATTTTGTTAGGATTTTTAACTTTCTTTACAAAAGTAATACATTTTCAGTACCGAAAATTTAGAAACTATGGGAGAGCCAAATAAATGGCCTTGTGCTGTTCACTCAAAGCTTACTAAATGACACGTTAGACAAATGTGTCGAAACTGGCTAAGATTAACTCTTCAGCGTGGCTAGCCTCGGTCAGGACAGACCTGGAACACAAACTTGTAATTCTGGTACTGTCCAGTGAAAGTGACTGACCCCAAGGCCTGCCGGGCTCTCGTAGGCCTATGGGGTCATCAGAGACAAGTTCTTGATCTGGACTTCAGAAAACAGCAAATCCACTGGCCAGTGGACAGTGCTGTGCTGTGCATGGCCAGCTAGCTGAACAGAAGACCTCATTCCTGATTACTCTGGACAGGAGAAAATTCACATATCGCTGTCAGAGAGAGGGGGCAGCCAGATGTGTAGGTCAGGATGCCCAGGAATACTTCTGTCTTGATTAATGGTCCCAGGGAGGTGGCAGGGCACCATTGCTGTACCAAGAGGTGAATGTAATTTGCATGTTGAGCTCTGTATCAAGAACAACAACTTGACTACAAATTAAACCATCCTGTGTTCTCTCCTTTGCCTGTGAATGTGTTGCCTCTGGGGGTCACTGAGTTTCTACCAGCAGTGAGAAGTGTCAATTTAGTCCACAGCTGGCGTGTCATGGTGAAAGACAGTAGCTTCGTCTTCAGAGACCTCAGGAGACGGGGGAGCAGCTCAGGTCGCCAGGGGCTTAGTGCACATGAGGTCCTGGGTCCACCCCAGTAGAAAACCAATGAGCTTGTGAGCACTGTGAAATGAGCACTGTGTATACAGCCCAGGCGTGGAACTCCCAGTAGTGAGTGCTGGGATTACAGACACCATCACATGACACCGTCTTCATCCTCTTCATTGAAGCTCTGAAGCCCTCAGACACGCCAAGGAATGGAAGGCAGATGACATGCCAGTCTTAAAAGCAGAGCTGAGGGCTGGGAAAGTGGCTCAGTGGTAGAGTGCTTGCCTTGCATGCATGAGGCCCTGGGTTCGATTCCTCAGTACCACATAATCAGAAAAAAGCTGGAAGTGGTGCTATGGCTCAAGTGGTAGAGCGCTAGCCTTGAGCTGAAGAGCTGAGGGACAGCGCCCAGGCCCAGAGTTCAGGCCCCATGACTGACAAAAAATAATAATAATAAGCAGAGCTGCGGTGGCTTGGTGGTAGAGTGCTTGCCTCGCATACATGAGGCCCTGAGTTCGATTCCTCGGCACCACATACACAGAAAAAGCCGAAGTGTCACTGTGATTCAAGTGGTAGCGTGCTAGCGTTAAGCTGAAGAACTGAGGGACAGCGCCCAGGCCCAGAGTTCGGTCCACACACCGACAAAAAAAAAGCAGAACTGATGGTGATGGCAGTAGTGAGGAGCCTGCAGGAGGAGCTGAGGTGAGGGCTTTGCTGCTGGCGGAGAA